TCGCACTCTTCGCCGACGACTCAAAGTGTTCCAGTGTCATTGATAGTCTACAGGACTGTGAGTCACTCCAAAAAGACCTGGACAGTCTGCAGGGCTGGAGTGATAATTGGCACCTAAAGTTTAACACCTCTAAATGTGAGGTACTAACCGTCACACGTAAGCGCTACCCACTTCGCTACGATTATAAGTTGAACAACATCTCACTTAATCACGTCACTCAAGTAAAAGACCTCGGAGTGTCTATCTCTTCCGACCTCACATGGGACACTCACACCAACACTATATTAGCTAAGGCCAATAGGATGCTTGCATTCTTGCGACGCAACAGTCTTTCGTCATTCACTACAGATCATAAGAAATTACCATATCTCACGTTTGTAAGATCACATATTGGCTATGCTAGCGAGATATGGGCTCCCAGTTCGATCGGTGGCATAAAAAAAACAGAAAGTCTTCAACGCAGGGCAACAAAATTCATCTTAAACACGCACTGGCAAGAGGATATTTCTTATCATGAGCGCCTTTCTCGCCTCAACGTGTTACCGTTAACATACTGGCACGAAGTCAGACTTAATTTTCTATTTCCAGTGTGGCGCTCGCCACTACACCTTACCCATAGCTGATTATGCCAGGCCCAAAGGCGCACGTCTTACTCGTCATAGCTCTGATCAAGACGTACTAATTCCTAAGTGCCGTACAAAGCTTTTTCAATTTAGTTACTTTAATCGTGTCGCTAAACTCTGGAATACCTTACCTGTATCCACTCGTATTATTAGTTCTCTCAATCAGTTTAAATCTCACGTACTCCAACGCTAATCGGCTGCTTTTAGTACAAACTATGACGTCACTAACTTCAACACCTGGAAATCGATCTGCTGCAAATGCAGTAGGTCACGTGATCTTCTATTAGTTGGTAACTGTTGCTATTCGGACTTTCTATCGGCCGCATGAGGGATTTATTCCTATCGTTTTCGTTTTTGCTTTTATTTTATATACTTTTTTATATACTTTTTACTGTCTATTGTTTACATAGTTAGTATTTTTGTATTTCTCGTAAGGGCACACTTAATTTGGAGCCTCGCCCTGTTGTGTGTCCCGCACCCTTCTCCTCCGTTCTCTTGTGTCTTGTTCATATGTATATTTTAGTCCTTTCAGTATTGTATGGTGAAAGCGATTAAACAAGTTTCGGGCGCTAGCGAATAACGACAGGCTAACGCTCACAAACTCAGCTTTGAAACTCTTTACAGCGGCCAATTAACATCATTAACTCAGTTGATAAAACAAAATTGTCTAGTTATACTCCCCCGCAGATGCTGCACTACAGTTTCATTAGAAACTTACACCCTTTAAACATTTGAATTATATTCAAGCCAATTTTGTGTAGCTTTAAAACTCTTTAGAGAGACCAATTTACATTACATTACAAAATCACGTTGTTATACTCCCCCATCGACGCAGCATCACAGTTTCTTTAGAAATTGACCCCCTTTATTCAATCATATTTTGGCTTAATAAACAGCCGCTGTTCAGGAAATGAGCCCGCGCTCCTCCCAGCACCATCAGCACAAAAAAGATAAAACAGCGAGCAATTAGGGAGCAACGAAAATAAACATGATGTGATGTTAAATGCCAACACTGGATACGTCAGTCAATACACAACCATATCATGGCCAAAACTGAATTTTATTATAAATAGCAAATAGCAAAGTACAAAAATGATGACAAGGGACTCTCCACAAGACGTCAATCGATGCCTCAAGGAAAACGAAAAATCCATACATACCTGCAAGAGAAAGACAAAATGAAAATTTTCTCACATTACTTTTTCGAACGAATCGCTCAGTCATTTCTTGGAAATTCTGAGAAGACCACATCTCTTTATCGACCCCCCGCCCCTCCCCCATAACCCAGGATCGATAGGCAAAGGCAATTATCGTGACTAAGTACTTAACGTGACGTCCGCTGAAGATCGTGACATAACATTTATCTAACTATAGTGGCAAAGGAATTGAAAATTATGAAAACATTACGCATTTAACGAAAGAGGAAATAAAAAGCACTTTAGTCATCCTTATTAACCACATAGATCCGAATTTTAAAACTTAAATAGTAGTCGCCTCTATTTTAATTATTCTGGTTCACATCCTACAGGGAAGAAGTATTGAAAAACTAGGCCAATAAAAATTAGTTAAAACAAAGATAAAGGAAAAACATTTTGCTTCATAATATACTCCAGAATGAAGGGTCTTAATTGAAATATAAAAAAGGAAAAAGTATAGAGAATTCAAGTTCTTTAGCTTTCATTCAAACAACCACAGTAGATTTGCAGCATTCTTAGGACTATCGCCAGAATTTGCCCTGGTAAAGTTCGTTTGGTGACAAACCTTGACCAATTTTCAAGCGAGTGTCGAAAGTAATCCGTAAATTATTTTGGTTTTGATTATTTCGCGCTGTGATTGGTCCAGAAAACTCGCACTACTCTCTGAACCAATCAGATGCAGAACTAAAACCAATCATGACTTGGTCGCCCACGTTTTCGGCAGTTTGGTTGTTTTCCCGCGCTTTAGACAGTTTGGTTGTTTTTCCGCGCTTTAGGCAGTTTGGTTGTTTTCCCGCGCTTTAGACAGTTTGGTTGTTTTCCCGCGCTTTAGGCAGTTTAGTTGTTTTTACTTTGTTTTTTTTTAATGGCTCTTGCAGATATTTTCCATTTGTTTTCTTATTGGCCGTTGTCATTACTTTCGTTTTTGTTTTTGTTTTACAACACTCAATCGAAAAACGATCTATAAAATGCCACAAGCTTACTGTGGAATTAGTTTTGCAGAAGCTTGTAACTCACCTTATATCTTCCCACAGCCGTGCTGCCTGTACTGGGACACAATTGTTAACAAAACAAGTTACCCGCATCAACTTACCAAACCAAGATACAAAGCACTCAGTTTCCAGTGGTGAAACAAACACAAGCTGAACAACGCATATGACCATCGCGTGATCAAGCATCGACACGTGACCACGCAATACAGCTTTGACGCGAAAAGAGATGAGGGGGGCACTGAAGGGAGGGGGGAGGGGTGAAGCGGCAGCGGGGTAAAGTGTATCTACTTAGATACAATAGGATAAACAACCTGGAGACCCGTGCGATATAATTTGTTTGCTGCACCACTGCAACTAGGCAGTACATTAATAAGCGAAAGAGATAACAAACCAACACAATTTTGTGAGGGTTTGCCTTATAAACTTCTACGTCCAAAACTATTTAAGCATGTTTGTGGTTCCTTCATTGTCTTACTGCAGCACGCAGATAAGGTTGGTATAATCGGCAAGAATAAACGACTTTTCCTCTCTACCTTACATTCGATAACATCATTTCCTTTCACTATGTCATCCACGGTATTTGGCGCAGAAACAATTTTTGCATTTGAGACGTTAAAGAATGCTTCGCAAGCTTCATTCATCCATGGTTACGATTCACCTCTTCGGATTGCCTCGTCCTTACTTTCACGATCTTGGGCGTAGTCCAATACAATTTTCACGCATAACGAGACTCCAACAACTTTTAATCCATGCCATTTATTCGAACTAAAAGATCTTGGAAGCCACAAGATCAACAGCTTCATTCAAAGGTAAGAAGAAAGGACACGACGACAACCTGTCGAGATTTCTAAACCACGATGTTGAACTTTAATTGTACGTACAACAACAAGCGATCATCTACCATAAAGGAGCAATTGTTGTTTAAAACTTCGTATTGGATGATTACTTCGGAATACGCGACAGCTAAATCAAAATCAACAAGTGTTAATTCTAACCTACAAGTGGGAATTTCATAGACCCTTAAAAACCAAAATGTTTCACCAAGTTAGCAAGTTTCAAACTTGGTTTAAAAAATTTGCATTAGTATAAGAATCATAGAGGACTAATTCACTACTAAAATTTGAAGTTAACCTAACGTTGTCCAACAAATGAAAGAAACGTCAACAGTTACTAATGTTTCAGTATCGCCGCATCATGCCCACACGAGGAGCGGCCTTGTAAGGCTCATATCTAACATCGGTTGAGGCAGGGTGGCGCCTCTCAACACCGGGAACTGCACTTCCAGTATAGGCACCTCGGGCAACAGGAGCCGCTAGGGAACCTCCGGGCTGGTTCCAAGGAGTTGGCGCACTGTCACGGGCAGTGACTGCAGCACGTGATCTGTCGTCAACAGCGGCGCGGCCTGCAGTTGACAAGCTAAGAGAAGGGTTGGCAACTTGGCGCGAGTCCATTCCATTTCCCCACGCACCTCTAGGCGGTATGGAGTCGCGACTGATCGGCGTACGAGTATCCCGAGCATCATACATACTTCCTGGACGAGGAATGCTCTGCTTGACCTCCGCACCACGATCTCGTGGACGCTCTCTTTCCCTAGCAGCTAGTGCATCACGGTCTCTAGAAGTCAGGCTACTACCATGTGTGTCTCTCCAGTCACGCGCAGGTGGCTTGCTAGATTCCACTCCTCCAGTCATGCCAGCAGAGCGATGACCTGTGTCCATGGACAGCGAACCGAAGCGTGCATCAACATGGACATTTCTGATATCTGCGAGTCCCGAGGACCCCTGCGAAAAGTTCGCTCCTCTCTCAGTTTGAGGGATAGGTGGTCTGCTATCCCGGGGGTCGGGGGCACGCCAGTTGGGTTCTTCCATAGATTTACTTAAATCACCTCGCACGTTATGTCCTTGGGCTGGCGCACCAGAGCCCAGGATACCCCTGACGCCAGCACGCTCCAATAGGATGGACAAGGTCTTCTGTGGATTTATTCCAGCTCCAAGAACCCCAACACCGGCCCCAGACAAGTCACCTCCGGTTGTCCAGGCCTTGCTCTCGTGGTTGCCTCGGCTATCACGCAAGTCACGATCCCGTGCTCCTCTGGAATGCTCGTGAGGTTTGTCCCGCCCGCGGTGTCCTTCCTCATTGCGTCGCTCTCTCTCGTCTTTCTTAAGACGCCTTTCGTCTGCTCGACTCCACTCCTCGGTTCTACGTTCTCGGCCAGCACCAGCTGGTTGGCGACCGTCTTCACGGTGGCCTCCTCGAGAGTCACGCCTGTCTGAGGAGACTTCAGGACGGTCACGTCTGCTGTCACGCTCACCCACTGAACCGCTGAAGAAGTCACGCGGTCTTTCATCACTCAAAGCAGCACGTTTTGGTTCTTCCCAAAAACCAACTGGTTTCTGAGCATGTGCTGGATCTCCACGTTCAAAGGGCGCACCGTGGCGCTTCAAATTGCGACGATCACGTTCCAATCGTTCACGTTCTAAACGTTGACGATCCAAACGCTCACGCTCAAGGCGTTCACGTTCCAAACGTTCCAATCGTTCGCGTTCAATGCGTTGTAAGCGGTCACGTTCAATTCGTTCACGCTCAAGTCTTTCGCGTTCAAGTCTCTCACGCCTTTCCCGTTCCAGGCGTTCACGTTCCTCGCGTTCACGGCGCTCACGTTCCCTTTGGCGTTCCAGTTCTCTTTGCCGTTCGATTTCACGCTGCAGGCGTATTCGTTCACGTTCTTGTCTTTCGCGAATCTCTCGTTCTCGTATAACCTGAAGCCTTCTCCTTTCACGTTCTCTTTCTCGTTCACGTTCACGTTGCCGTTCGGCCATTTTCTCTCGTTCAAGCCTTTCACGCTCTCGTCGAAGTCGATCTTGTCGCTCTCGTTCACGCTGCTCACGGATCTCTTTAGCTCTCTCCAGCCTCTGTCGCTCCTGCCTGTCGCGTCGAATCTCGTCAATTGACTTGATTGGGCTTTTGCTAGGCTTTTTATCGTCCTTTTCTTTACTTTTATCTTTCTCAGTGCTTTTTTCCGGCTTGTCTTTGTCCTTATCTTTGTCTTTGTCCTTCTCCTGGTCTTTGTCTTTCTCCTTTTCTTTTTCCTTGTCAGAGGATTTATTCGACACGACCGGTTTAGAACCTTCGTCTTTTTTGCCAGTTGAAGAAGTACTTCCTGTGATTAGTATTAATCGTAAAACAAAACAGAACATTTTATACTAAATATAAGATAATCTGCACGACACATAGCACTTCTCTAGTAAAAAATGCAGTCAGAAGAATGCGAGGAACACAAAAACCGAATGTGCCGGGATGAAACCTCAACAGTCTCAAAGGCAAAAGTCATCTGCATGCAACTATTCGAAAGGACTCTCAATAGTTGGCAATACGTTCGTCCCAAAATTCCAAAGTGTTTTATGACAGATCAAGATAGGAAGCCCCTAAAAAGAGCCTTGACGAATCATGACAAGATCACAATAGTCAATCAGCTTCAAGAAAACCCGTGCAGCTCTAATCAACACAACTCGAGAATCATTTTGAATAACAGTACCACGCTGGACTAACTCAACTAAGAGATCATTAAACAAGATTTAGAGTTACAAGTTGAATTGACTCTCCTAAGATATGATTAAAATTCTCCTTCACGCTCTAGAATGGCATTCCACGACGAGCGTTAGAAGAAGTTGGAATTATGTCAGAAAAGTCGTTCTTCTGTCATTAAGTTCTTCACTTTCATCGAATGCTTCCTTGATTTACGAGTGATTTGTTGACCATGACAGAGAAGGAATGAGTGAGAGGAAATGTGACGTAACAGGACACTGATTCATTAGCTTCGAAAGAAGAAATACTGTGTGAGGAAGCTATGTAAACTGAACCTAAAAAATTATGGCATGTGACTGGTTGGACTTAATTGGACTTGGTTGGATAGACAGAGTCTCAAAGTAACACAACCGAAATAGCCCAGAAGAATGATTCATGACGGGAAGACATTCACCAAGAATTGCAACAACAACACTGTACTAAAGATAACACTAACAGCCCATACAAATTGTGTTATTACCACAATGCTTAAAGCTTACTGAGTCAGCACTCCATACTAATGTAGTTTACAAAAATATGCCAGTCTAAAAGAAAACTAGTAGCATATCGAAAAACCCTCTTTAGGGAGTGTCAATAAAGTTTGTATTGTAATACATATCCTTAACCAGATTACAGGGAAAAGAAAAAGAATCCAACAAATTTTCAAAGGAACTCACTTACACAAAACAAACCAAGTATAAGAAGGTGCAGTTGTCTAAGCCATGCTGTTAAAATAACGTCCACAATATTCTATTAATATGAGACTAACCTGACTTCTGTTGTTTTGGAGTATTCTTAGTAGATGACTTAGCTGGTGTTTTAGTGGCTGTTGATTTCCCCGGAGTCTTTTCCGCAGGTTTCTTTGCCGGCGCCTTCTTGTCATCAGTTTTAGCTTTGGATTTATCCGAGGAGTCAGCTGTCAACAGATCAAATTGTAAATCTTTAACATCAGTTTTCAATTTGAATGACAACCCATTGGAGCTTCATTGACAAACTTCCCCTAGTTTGAAGAAGTGAGTGCAAATCAATCAGTCCTACCATGAGTGGCAAAAGTCTTAGGGCCTGATTACATGAGCCGGGCTGGCCCGGTTAGCCGGGCTGATTTCTTTTGTTTTGGTGTCGCCAAAGCGTGAAAACAAAAGAATTCAGCCCGGCTAACCGGGCCAGCTCGGCTCATGTAATCAGGCCCTTAGTGTGCTCTGCTATCATTTGATTTGTTCTATAACTCTCACTATCAAGGCTGCGCTCTACGAAAAATTGAAGAGAGCCCAGTGCGAAGAAACTGAAATCCAGGGTGCCCAGCATATGTTTTTTATGAAAAGACTAAGATTCCTGGGTCATCCAAGAACAAATGTAAGGTGCCAGGGGCCACCAGGTGCTGCTAGACCACAACCATGCACTACCGTTCCCTTTCGCCCATTTCGTTGGGTTGGGTTGGGGGGGGGGGAAGGGGGGAGACTTTTATGTATCTTGATAGGCATGAATAATGAGCTATCTGCTCTTTACGCGGAGTGGAGGATTGTCGAACGCCTACTAAGCAGAGGCATGCCAACTACTTTTGCCACTCACTGTAGGTTACCAAACATCAGCCACCATTACCAACAACTGTCCTTTTCATCACTTCCTGCACTCAAACAAACAAACAAACAGAAACAACTTTTACCAATATGTCTAATTTATAAAGGTTTAAATGGCAGATATTACATGTGAGCCGGTGCAAAAGCAGTTTTGTTTAAAGATGCACGGAATCGAGGCACTTGGGCCAAAAGCTTTGTAAATTTTCAAAGGTATCACTGCATGTTTCAAAACAACTTGCATTTTACGCTATTTCTTTAATTTTATCAACAATCTGAAGCATTCAAAAGGCAAAGATAGCAATGGTTAGACATTGTATTGCATTTGGATGCAACAACCGGAGTGATAAACCACATTGCAAGCATCTTTCATGGCATTCACTGCCACTAAACAACAAGAAACTTCTGGCAACTTGGCTAGTCAAGATCAAATGGGAAAAAACACACCCGTAAGTAAAAATTCCTTTTATGCAGTGAACATTTTGAAAAGGAAGGCTTTTCTAAGTCATATGCTGGCCGGAAAGTAAGTCTTAAGTCAAACTCTGTTCCGACAATATTCAGTTTCTCCCAACAGAAAACCAAAAGGAAGGCTCCAAAGGAAAGACGCTCTATTGATGATGACTTTCTGGCCGGTATATGACTTGGAAAAGCATTCCTTTTCAAAATGTTCACTGCAGAAAAAGGAATTTTTACTCACGAGCATGTTTTCCCGTTTGATCTTGACTAGCCAAGTCACCAGAAGTTTCTTGTTGTTCAGTGGCAGTGAATGCCACTTTATCCTGCATTGAGCACAATAATCATGAGGCCAGTGTGCCTCCTGTAGTAACTTGGCAAAGGGTAATTGCTTGCCACGTCCTCTTTCCACAGGTACTGTGAGCCTGTATTCCTCATCAAGAAAGCGTGAAGCTTGGTAGCCTCGCTGTGAAGGGGTTACAAAAGAATGGGAGCCAAAGTTTGTTACCACATTTCTTGTAGGGCCCCTCTTAACCTGCAGAGCATTTCCTTACTTATAACCCAGGGAATTTACAACTTTGCATAACCACACATACCTGGCTTGTCCTTCTTCTCCACTTGTTTCTTTTCTGTTGGTTTCTTCTCTGCTGGCTTCTTTTCTGCAGGCTTTTTGACAGCTGGCTTTCTATCAGCTTGTTTCTTATCAACTTGTTTCTTATCGAGTTGTTTCTTATCTGCTGGCTTCTTGGCAGAGCCAGATTGAGTTGTAGGAATGCGATCGCCTTTAGCCTAAGAAAGACAAATAAAAAACATAGATCACTTCTTGACATGAGCCATGAACCACTACATTTGCTTGATTAACCTTTTAAATGCAAAAATTTGTTATTGCCAAACTAAAAAATTTTAACTCCCAGAAGTGATTAACATTAAACTTCTTCCCATAATATCCATATATTACCAAAGAAACTTATCAGATACAGGCTGTCATCCTGTTCTAACATCAAATTCTTAGAGCTATTTTACGAGAAAATGTACAGCAGCTAAAGGGGGTATTAACAAGCAGACCTTGGGAGTTCAAGGGTAAATGCCACGCCTGTCCCATGCCCAATACAGCGCCATCTAGATTCTCTATTTTCCCATTTTTCTCTTCAATCAACCAAGCAAAATTATTGTCTTTACATGAGGTATGATTACCCAGATTGCCCTAGCCAGAGGCTCATGTATGAAACGCAAGACAGCAACCCACCCAACACACCTCAGGGGAGGACATCCACCACTCAGTGTTCTCGTGCGTGGGAAATTAATGTCTCCTACCCCTAACCCTGCAGGAGACAGGGCCTACGGTTTATTCGTCCCTATACTAGAAGACTAGAATATCTATCCATTTCTTGATATTATAGAAAAGTAGCAAATTCTCCTCAGTTATTTTAAGATCATGAGTATTGGTCCGGCCGGGGCTCGAACCCTTGACCTCCCGCACAACACAATCCGCCGCTCTAACCAATTGAGCTAACCGGGTAGCAGCTCTTTTTTCTTTTATACCACCAGACTCACCAAGGAAGTTACACTTACCCTATCGACTGTGATAGTTCTTCCATGCAGTTCTGTTCGATGAAGGTGTGAAATACACTTGGCTGCCTCCTCACTGGTTGACATGGTAACAAGTCCAAAGCACTGGGCACCAGGGGCCTTAGAGTTTGTTACTATCTTTGCACCAACCACCTGAAAATCAGGAACAGTTTTGAAAATCCCCCCTTAGCATTTGAGCATCTCAACCAGGGGTTTCAATGACATTTTCAGCAGGAGGGCAACTGGGTTTCAAGGACGGGCAAAACTTTTTGAACTGAACTTCTTTATAACATAAACTTTCCTCCAAATGGTCAAACCAGGTGGGCAAAACTGTCCCACAAACTGTCAATTTGCCCAGTGCCTGGCCCTTAACGAAACCCCTGCTCAACATAACTTTTCATATCGCTTCTATGAGGCATCTTTTATATGAAAAATGCTATATGCTAGTAGGTATACAGTGGCTAATTCTACTTGGCTTGGAAACTGTTCTAGGAGGCTCAGAACTTTACAGGGGGAATACAAAGCTAAATTATCACCGTTTACCAAACTATTCAAAAACTAGAGAGAATCACCACATTCACTGATGTTTTGTGCCAAGTTACTCTCTTTGAATGTTTCACTAATTTCTCCTTACAATATTGATATAATATCAAGCAGACAGGTGAAGAGAAAAACCAAAACACTGAATAGGGAATTATCATTTGATCCAATAATGAATTCCCAGAACTAACATCTAAAGAATTGTAACCCATGAAATTATGCGCTTGAAGTACTTCTTAATACTGCCAAAAACTGCTTGAAAATTCTTGAAAATTCAGCTGGAAAAGGATCACTCTACTAGTTTGAAAATTTATTTTACCTGTCATACTTAAAATAAGGGGGAACACAGAGAAACTCTTTAAAATGATGATAAAGTCAATTCTCACCTTTCCATATTGACTGAACCTTGTTTTCAGATCTGCAGCTCGTGTTACAGATGACAGATTGCTAACCCACAGACTCTTTCCAGTTTCCTTTTTGTCCTTTGCAGAGGAAGCACCCTTTCCTGGTGTTTTGGTTGTCTTGCTGTCAGCAGCTTTTGAGTCTTTACTCTTAGCTTCACCTGTTTTCCCTTTCTCACTGGAACCAAAGTGAAAGAGAATTGAGAGCATTTTTTTAAAGTGCCCCTCAGTTTTTAAAGGATTAAACTGAGATGTGGCAAGTTAACTGCTTTATCATTGCAGATCTTGAAAGTTCAAGGAACACCCAAAATGGTGATGTTAGACCAGGAAAAAAATGCTTCAAGTCAGCAAGGGTTAACCCTTTACATGTAACTTCTCCCTATAATATCCCTACATTATCTAGCAAACAGGTAATGAGAATACTCAAAATTATCAGGTAAAAGTTGTTTTCTTGATCTAATACCAAATTCTTGTACTTAATTTACAAATAGATTTTGGGAGTTTGGGGGTTAAAGACATGCAAAATACAGTGATAACACCTGGAGATGTGGCCTACTCATCCTGTGTGAAGGATGAAATATGCAGGGTCTAAAACAACTGTTTCATCAGCTACAAACCAATAAGTACAACTAAAAGTTACAAAATTTTATAGAAATCATCTTCAATTTTTCATTTAACACCAAGAATTGTTTTATCCTACCTCTGTGAAGAAGAACTTCCTCCATCTTTAGACTTCTCTTCTTTTGCTTTATCTGCTGCCTTGGTGTCTTCTTTCCCAACATGATTTTCAGCATCCTTGGTTTTTCCTGGCAAAAATAAGTTGGCTTAGAATCAAACCCTGACTTCAAACAAAAGAGTACATAACAGAGAGAACAGTCCTCAAGAGGTGTTTTCTCTGGTTTAGGGTCAGATTATTAGATGTAGTCCACAGCAAGACAGAATTCTGCACATGCATTGGCAGCATGCAAAAAAAAAAGAAAGGAAAAAGAAAAAAGAAAAAAGAAAAAAGAAAAACAGAGTTTGAAAGCATCTCTCCTCTCAAGGATTAGATCATACACAACTAGACAATAAAATTGCTGATAATTAAACATTCCCACAGAGAAGCTCCAAAAACTTCACAAAATGGAAAAAGATTTCTTAGCTCACCATTTCCTTTATGCTACATGAATGACACCAATGATAATCAAATCATCACGATATTTCATGGCACACCCTATATAATTCCTCATTTAAATGGAAATTGTTTCAAAAGGGACAGAAATAGCTGCAACAAAATATTTTACTCCTTATTTCCAACTTGGCCCTAAGTAGACTATGCACTTTACAAACAGACGATTCTGATGATTAGAAAGTTCCACTCTTGAGTATTTTCTTTGTTGACCTGGACAAGTTTGTTTTCCAAGATGATGAGATCTTAACAGATGTTGTCTTCCTCATCAGATGGCACCAGCTTTGGTGATTTTCTCGCTTTCTTGCTGACATTGCCGATTCTTGAAAATAATTTTTCAGTGCACACTAAGACTCCAGCTATCTCATCTGGAAGCAGTTGAGTGAGTTCTGATTTTCTACCATCATTTTCCCAAAGAGAAACCATGAATAAAGTATCTGCAGCATCATGAGTGCTCCTTGGTCGCAGACAATCTTTTGTCAACTGATTACACCTTTTATGGTTTTGAATCTGGGCTTTCAACAAGGAGGGCAACTCTCTGAACCTTTAATTTGAGGCCAACAACATGCTTGGGCCAAATTAATCTCACATGATCCGCTAATCTAAAAAATCACAACGATAAAGATACACATTCTAAACAAACAGCTTTGGCACCTTTGTCAGATTTTTCTTCTCCCTTTTCTTGACTCTTAGCAGCAGCTTCAGCAGCAGCAGCCTCTTTTGCTGCAGCCTCTGCAGCAGCTGCTTCTTTCAAATCATCATCCAGATCATCTTGTACATCATCAGCATGGACAAATAACGAAACTGACAAGCTGTTCTCTTTGGAGGCATCCAGCTCTGACATGTCCATGGCTGCAGCACTATCATCTTTCATTTGTTCACCTGTGTCTTCTACGCTTATTTCAGCTGGTCCTGATGTCTCCATTTGCTCTTCAACATCAGCTGATTCTTCTGTAACTTCCATTTTGGGGGTGTCTGATTTAAATAAACATTTTTCACCTTTTTCAAACTAAGCAACCACAAACTTCAAGGTGGTGATTTAAGTTCTCTTCAAAAATAGCTTATGAAAGGATTTAATATAAACAACCAGATACTCTGATCTGTATTCCTCAAAAGGAAATGTGATTTCTTGTATTTCTAATTTTTGAGGAAAAACATAAATTCGATGGCATAAAATCAAACAAAAAATCCTTTGGAAATATTTTCAGAATGCTGTTGGTAACAAGCGATGCCATCAAGTAAAAACAAACCAACTCTTCAATCAGTTGATAAGATAGAGCCCCCGCTTATAACAAGGATTGCAATTTAAAATAAATCAAAGATAGAAAGAAGACAGAAAGAATTGTACCTTCCTCTGCTTCCTCTATTTTTTCTTCTTCAATCAGAGGTTGGTCATCAACCTGGAAGATACCAAAGACTGTGGTTATTTATGACTCTTATCGAACACTTTAACAATAATGCAACTTAAGTTTACATTTTCTCAGGAGTTCTTTGTCACAGTTTTGTGATGAGAAATGTAAAAGTGATATATAGACTTTTTGGTCTTATAATGCCTACCTCTTTGGTGTCTTCCAAGTCATTTTGCTCCTCCAGATCTTCCACTTTAATATCTCCCTCATTCAATAACAAGTTTCCATCATCTTCTTCAACATCCTTTCCACTGTCCTTTTTCTCATCAGCAGCAGCAGCATCATTATCATCATCAACATCATTTTCATCATCACCAACTTCAGATTTCACCGTCAGTGAGGTGTCAATTATGTTGTCAAGCTTATTGCTGTCTAAATCATCAGCATCCAAAGGTTCCTCTTTCATTTCTTCGTCCCCTTTTAAATCAACATCCAATTCAATAACACCTTTGTCCTCGACCTATGAAAAACAATTGAATAAAGTGGGTGAGATTTGATAGAAACAATAGGGCTGCATCAGTAGGGGTATTACAAGATAATTTGGTTCGTCAACTGATTTGAAAAGTGTAAATTGACTACTTTGAAGAAGTTTTAAAGCTGATCTTTCTAGCATTAGCCTTTTGTCTTTAACTCTGACAAAATGGCTAACCCTTGAAACTACGTCAATAAAACCAAATTATCCTACTGACCACAAAAATGCTATGAACTTACTACCTGAAGAAAATAAACATTTTAGAATATGGTAAACTTAATATTTTTAGTTAATATTGTAGTCCCACAGTTAAATTTAGCCACAAATCCTAACTCAGAAGTATATAGACAGTTTCAGGCTGACAAAATTTTTACTTCTGAGTAAAAATCTGACTGATGGTTTTCACTGCTTTCCTAACATCCTTGCACAAGTATCAAATAAATTTCAAATTCCACAATTTCTCATCATGACATTTCCACCTTGTGTAACTGATGAAAACAAATCCTAGAGAGATTTTAAATCTGCTTTTGATGAGAGATGCAACACAAAACTTGGCCTTCTCATAACATTTACTGTATTTATTCTTGTACAAGTCGACCCTGTGTATAAGTCGACCCCCCATTCTCAAGGTCAAAAATCTGATTTTTCATAATTTCTAGCAAAGAAAAATTCAGACTGATGGAAATTTCTCGAATGACCAATCTCTTATCTCTGAGAATGTATTGAACACACTGTGAATTGAAAAAAAGCTGCAGAGCAAAAGGTAACCGTGTGCTGTGAAGTTTGGTAGCACTTGTTTACATCACCACGATTCATGATTTAAGCATATACCAGCATTTCCATTTACTGGAGAAGTAATTTACCATATTTTGTATATCGCCTTAAAAATGAATTCTTCATTCATTTAAATAACCTTTTGAAAGGAGATTTAGTGGACGGAAAGAACACCGAAGAGCTTCGAAGGATCGCTTAATGAAAACACTGCCGACTTGGGAAACTACACAATAACATTATTGGTACACACATGTAACATACAAGATTACGTGAGAAAACAGCATTTGCCATGTCACTAAGCTACTGTAATCATTCAATGAAAATCAGAATTCAGCACCAAAAACAGCAGCGAAGCTGTAAGGAAAAATATCTGCTCTACAGATCAGAAGATACAATAGAAATCAACCCCACTAGGTTTCTGTTTAAGCCTCATAATATTTATTATTTCAAATTTGTTTCTTGATGAAAAACGTGCTGAAAACTGATGAAACTCGAACACAATTAGAACTCCTTTTGTGAACTCAGTTTTCCTAACCGACTTCAAGCAATTGTTATGCTAATTTCTTGGATTGCTTGGGTCAGGTCATTGCCTATGATTCGTATACAAGTCAAGGATGATTTTTTGGGCTGATTTTTTGGTACCAAAGCGTCAACTTATACACGGATAAATATGGTAGCTCACTCACTTTAAGGAACTGAATACTATGATAAATGTATGGAAGGTCATTAAAATGCTGTTCAAAGCTGTCTAATCAGTGAACCAAACATGCTTCCCCGTTGGACAGTAATTCTGGAAAGTAACATACTTGTCAATTAAACCAACAGTGATCCAGTAACATTTGAGACTGTCCACACCACAAGTGAGGGAACAACAATTATTATTACAGAAGCAAAATATTGTGTATACATCTGGAAAACAATGAGTTGAAAAAAGCAGTCTGTAAAAATGTTTCCATAGACAATGAAACAGAAAAGAAATGTTTGTCTTGGAAAAATGTTACCTCCTCTACTTTCCCATCCAAAAAAAAAATATTTGTGCTCATAAAGATAAGAGATGCTATAAGATGTGGAGTTTTATTCCACTAATTTTTTTTGTATTCTTAAGGCTGCAGAATTACTTCATTTGACAGCAAGCAACCCAGCGGCACGATAACCTTTTCAAAATTTTCGAAATTGGTATGGTCAACTATCACACAGTTAAGCATTAACAGTAAATTGCACAATGTTTGTATTATTAAGCTCACACTGACCGACTCTTCAACTTCTTCCACTTTCGGTGCAGCTTTCCTCTCTGTAGAGGGAAAAAAAAAAAAAAACAAAGTAAGAATTCGCAATTCTACCTGGGATCGATAAATTAAGAATAAAGGGACACAGCTGACAACATATGCGCTTACTCAAGTCTGGGGTGATCGAAGTTTTCTTCGGCTGTCTCTGCCTCAGAGGGGAAGTAAACGGACTCGTTGAGGGCTGTTCTTCGTCTTCATCGTCTTCACCGGTGAGACCCACGCTATCAATTGGGATAAAATCGGAGGTTTCCTCTTCATAGTTTTCCTCTTCATAGTTCTTTTCTTCCTCCAAGGCCTACAGAAAATACAGAAATTACAAACGCTTCGATCGCTTTCGGAGTGAGCTTGTTTACTGTTGTCTAATTCCAGCCATCATCTGCTCAAGCTGTATCATATATTTTTCGAGAAATAACAGTGGTAGTTACCTTCTGTAGTCGTTCCACCAACACTGCCTTTACTCCACTTTTCTCCAAGCCTCTATTTTCGAGCTCTTGACGGAGATCTACAACTCGTAAATCGGACAGTTTTCTTCCGCCCAACAAGACAGTCTCCATTTTGTTAGACATGTGCGAAAAGCAAATGTTAGGTCAATCTCCCGGATGAAGTAGCTAGAGTCGCAAAGCCTCATGGACAAGAGACTGCTCGATTGCAAAGTACCACGGAAATTACCGAACATTGCCTGCCTCGGCAACGACTGCTTATCTATCACCGATCGTTACACGATCGTCATAGAAACATAAACAAGATGGCGACTACTTTGACTATTTTGTGATGCGAAACAATTTTGCTCCGAAACATAATGGCTCAAACGGAAGACCTGGTAAATATTTTCAATAACAAAATTTCCTCCAAACATTTTCTTAAGATTAAAAAGAAGAAATATTATTGGATTGTCTATAAATGATGAAACAACTCGACTTCTAAGAGCTTTTGCAAAGTAATAATTTTGTTGTTGAATTTGTTACATGCACAGCAGTGTAAGCCTACCCAGCTCAGTAGAAGATGGATTTGGAAAGACGACACAAACACACTGGAACCAATAAGGTAACACAGTAGAAGGTAGCAAGATATACAACTGTTGTTAGCTGCAAAATACACTTTTTACCTGCAGTTTCGAAAGAACGTTAATGACGGTGATCTGACTGACAAACTACATCTACAATGATAATGTTAAGTCCTACAATGTTAAGTCCTACAATGGAGATACCCATCACTGCAAGACGATCACAGAGGTTGCAAATAAGTCAACGAGAAGGGGAAAGGCACAGAATATAGATCATGAATCCTTTATTATACAAGTTTAAAATCCGCACCCCCCCCCCATTGAAGGCTTTCCTGTAACACCCCTCCAGAAAAGAAATTTTTTAACCCCCTTCAGAATTTTATTTAGTTATCAAGCACACCAATTGAACCCCCTTTAGAAACTACACGTGAGAATTTCTGTCAAGGGTACTTTATGGCCACCCCTCTCAGAAATATGGTTCAACCCCCCTAAGAAAAAATATAGCATTGACCCCCCCTCGCCCTAAGAAATCCCAGGGCTTCAATAGGGGAGTGGCGATATTAAATGGAATGGGCCAATGTCCCAAATAAAACCATACTCCTTGTGGCATGGGGACATTTGCATGCTGTATGTTGTGTCAACAGCACTGTTCCTGGAAGCATTGATAAAGGTGCAAACTTTCATCTTGCTGCTAACAAATCAAAAAGAAGCAAAGGAGGCTTAGGAATACACTTTCAGGACCTGAACAAAAAAAATGATAGGTAAGGTTACATGAAACAACAATACTTAAATTATTCGGTTGTCAACAAATTATTTTGTAAAAGCAAGTTGTCTTCTTCCTTGTGTGACTCCTTAAGTACCAGAAGTGATTAGCATATAACTTCTCTCTGATACATCAACTGTATTTTCTTGAATAGGTACCCCCATTTAAGTAAACACTCTCCTCCAAAGAAGTGTCCACCCCTTATGCCGTGGTATCAAACATTAGCACCGGCCCCTCTCATATCTGCCTCAACTCCTTCCTCACTTTCTTATATAATAGGGATACAAGGAAAACCTGTTACGTCAGCAGAATCAGTACAGGTTAATGATTTCTTTTAAGTATCCCTCTTGATTAATCCCTCTTAATTAAGCACCCTCCTTAATTCCCATAAGTGCCCCCCCCCTTTCCAGCTGAATAAACGCCTGCACACTTATTCAAGAAAATACAGTGTATGTTATCAAGCAAACAGCCAGGAAATGACCTGTGATACTTGATCAGTGTTCTTTTTGAGTGAGTTTGACTCCAAAGACTGACTGGTATCTAATTGCTCCTAATAATATCACTACTGAATCAAATGCAAAAGTGACGAGAATGAAGGATGTTGTCATCCACTTAAGAAGCACTTGATTGTCAAACAAATTCTCCTTGTCATTACCATAGGAAATGTCACGAGAACAGTATGGAGAATATATATACTGATATTAGGGTGTAAAGTGGGAGCTGGTCATGTGAGTTTGTAATATACCTAAGGAAGAACAACACATTAAAATAATATAGTACTGTACAGAAATCGTAACTTCTTAGTTACAACCCTCCTCTTTGTTTGTTGCTCATACAGGGGTACACCATCTGTCATGTCGAAAAACTATGGGGCTACAGGAGCAACATCTCGTCGTGGCCAAGCATACCTGATGGTACAAAGAGCTGGTAACATGAAAGGTTCCTCTCCACGACCCAGTGTCAAGGCAGCTGCAGCCAATGAACATGCAACTGTAACACTAGATGATGTAAAGAGTGTTGCATTAGATTCCATGCCAGATGTTGACCTCCTTCCTCCTGCATTTCAGGAATGTTACAGGTGAAAGTTGTAAGAAATGCAGTAGTCCTGCAAATAGTTGGCTAGAATATGGATTGAATAAGTCAGGGTTGGAGCTCTGGCTGTGTTATTGTGCTGAATTCTTGGGCCAAAAGAGCATCTAACCACCCAAGAGTTTACCTGTAATTTTAAGGGGTACCAGCAAACTGTTGGGAAGCTGAAAAAATGCGAGGGTGGGGGAAGTGGCCTATTAATTACCAAAGGAATGGTATGCTCCTAGTCTGTTCAAACTGTAGAATGCAGGATCAGTTTGGCAGCAGTAACTTAGACCTAGCTAATGCCTGAGTCAGTAGCTTTGTAGGACTTGAGTGGAAGTCTGGCATGTGTTTTAAGCACAGTCTAGAAGCTCTAGGTCATGGTGAGGAGTCCTTGGCTTGAGTAAAAGTCATTGCCCCACAAAAAGGTTGATGGAGTTTGAGACTTGATGAGGCAACAATATATAGAAACCCAAATGGAAAATCAACTTTTTAAATGACATACACAATATTTTTTTGAGGGTGCAATGTCAGTATTGTATCTAAACTTCATAGCTATAACATGCTTGGTACCATACCTAATTAAGCAAGAGAACACTTTTTTCTGGACTCTATAACCTAGCCTTTTAGGTTGTGATTTATAAGCTTTCCAAGAGTTCTTCCAACATCCCAAGTGGCTTTATCATGTTATAGAGCCCAGAAAAAATGTGTTCTATTGCTTTTATGATATACCTAGTTATGTGCAGGCTCTATAATCCTGATAAAGTATCCATTTGGAAACTGAATTGACCAATCAGAGAATGCGTACTATGTTCATTATGTTATGAGGCATTATAAACTTGAAACATTTGGTAGCTGATTAAATCCTTTTTTCTTTCAGCTCTGAACAATTTGATGAATTTCAACTGGCCATTTTGAATTACTTTGATGCATTCTTTGAGAGGATGGCTATTGAAAATAAACCGAAACCAATGGCAGTGTAAGTAATGTTGATATTAGGAGACAAAGAGCTATACTTTCACATGAAAGTAATGGACTTAGTCTTGGTAAAAGAGAAGAACAGTTCCTTAAAGATATTTTCAGCCAACAGTTGACCAACAGTCAGTCGACAGTGACAGTCAGCAGTCTGTTGACTGGCAATATTTTGGGAACTGTTCTTCACTTTAACCAAGAATCAATTTTACAGAATCAAGTAGATAGGTGGAATGGTGCGATCAACAAATATCTATCTACTGTTTTCAACTGGAAAAGTTTTGACTCTGTTTTCAGTCAATTTTTGGTCTACCTAACTCTTTTGGCCAACTGTCGTTAATGTGTCGGTAACCTGTCAGCCAAAAGGTTACTGACAGCTGAGAATGGGAACCATTGTTCACTTTTTCCTTAACCTACAGCTCTAAAAGTTTAAATTACACCTTTCTCAATGAGTCCATAATGCAGGCATGCCTGAAAGACGCAAATGTATGTTAACAAATGGTGAATGCCAAAGCGTGTACTATTGAGATATGGATGCATGCGGGAGGTTGCTAAGCACAAAAAAAGTGTAAGAGTCATGTGAGGCGATAGCTGAGAGCGACTCTAGCTTCTTGAGTGCTTAGCAAACCTCCCAAGTGCATCCATAACTCAATAGTACACGCTATGGTGTTCACCATTTGTTTTATAGCATAACATTGATACATTGGAACAAGAGTTCCCTTTTATTTAACAATTCTTATGTGATCAGGAAAACAAGCGCGCGCGGAAAATAGTCTTAGCATTTGCTCACGTCAGCAGCATGCACCCATGGGCAAATAGTAGATGCCAAATTAACCAATCAGAGCGTGCGTGTGCTTTGCTTTAGTTATTTTATAATGTTAAATCTCTCATTGATGAGTGTTTTATTAATACAGATGAAGCCAAATTTATCCTAGCTTGGCAAAGAATTAAACTTTTAAATCTTAGTCCACATGTTTCTGCTGAGTGACTTCTGTGCTGCAGAGAGGAGTAACCTGAAAATGACTCATCAAAGTGTCATTATAATCAGTAAGACAGACATGTCATTATAACATCAGTTGTTTAGAGTTTACATGTAACTATACGCATAATACAAAGGTAAGAAAAAGTAATAATTTGAATATATCAACAAAGTTGGAATGGTAAATTGGCCACCGTTACGATTATAAAAGCTGATGTTTCGAGCGTTAGTCCTTCATCAGAGCGAATGGGGGAATTGTGGGTTGTGTGTGCTTTTAAAGACAGAAAAAGGAGCTACGTGATTGGTGGAAACATGGCAATGAGAAAAACACAAATAAATTAGTGGAATGAAAAGC